CTCAAGTACCAGGCCATGGGCCGCTGTGTCTACGTGCACTGCAAGGCTGGGCGCTCCAGGAGTGCCACCATGGTGGCTGCGTATCTGATCCAGGTAGGCGGGTGTCGCCGGATGCTGGATGTAGGCCCAGCAGGCCAATGTGCTGCAGGTGGCCACTGCCTGATTCCAGGGTGCTGGGGTGGGGGGAACTGGGCACAGCACCTGAGCTTTGTGGATGGCTTGTCTTGGCAATGCCACCTGCCTGCCAAGACAGATGCAAGTACATTCTTCTTTCCAATGAGATTTCCTCAGACTGCACGCCTTTCGAAACTTAAATGACAGTGTGTCAAGGGCTAAGCCTGGGAGCTGAAGAGGTGGCTCAGTGGAATAAGCACTTTCCTGGCAAGCACAAGGGCCTGAGTTCAATCCCTGGTTCCGCCAAAGAAAAAAAAAAAAAAAAAGAATTGGGTTTTTTTTTTTTTTAAAGGGCTAAGCCTGCCACCTCGATCCACACCTGCCATCCCAGCACTTGGGATGCTGAAGCAGGAGGGGCTTAAATCTAAGCCGGGCCTGGGCAACTTAGCAAGACCTGTCTCAAAATAATATAAAAGGGAGACAAGGAGCCCTAGGTTCAGTCCCCAGTACCACAAAACTAAATGAGCGAAATGAACAAATGAACACTTCCTAGCCATGCTGTTGAGCTCTAGAGAAACAGCTACCATACACTCCTTTAGTCTTCCTTGTTGTGGTACAGGGGTTGAACCCAGGGCCTTTAACATGCTCGGTGAGTGCTCTATGTGAGCTACTCTTGCCCTTTTTCTTTTTTTGCGGAACCGGGGATTGAACTCAGGCCCTTGAGCTTGCCAGGCAAGCACTTACTCTACTGAGCCATCTCCCCGGCCCCTTGCCCTCTTAAGACTGGGTCTTTCAGGCCCAGGTGATAGCTCAGTGGCACAAGCATCTGCCTGGTAAGTGCACGGTCCTGAGTTTGATTGCTGGTAGTGAGAGGAAAAAAAAAGGCCAGGTCTTTCTAAGTTGCTGCAGTTGGGCTAACTGGGCTCAAGCAATCCTCCTGCCTCAGCCTTATAAATACCACACCTGGCAGTAGTGTGATTATTAGTATTTCTTGGGTACCAGGAATCAAACCAGGACCTTGTGCTTGCCAGGTATGTGCTGCACTGCTGAGCTATATCCCCAGCCTAAGAGTGTGATTATTAACACCCCTTAAAATGGGTCTGCCTACAAAATTCTGTAAGTCCTCTGGCAGCCGCTCCTTCCTCCGCTGACCCTGTCCTGCACTGATTCAGGTGTATAACTGGAGCCCAGAGGAGGCCATCAAAGCCATCACCCACATCCGGTCCCACATCCACATCACACCTGGTCAGCTGGAGGTCCTCAGGGAGTTCTACAAGGCTGTGTCTCCAGCAGCAAGGAGTCACACATGACACAGCTCAGTGGCTGAGAAAGAACTCCGACAGCTGCACCTGGCACAGAACGAGCTTTACGTGGGGCCAGCGGGGCCACTGCTGACTGACAGGACAGAAACGTGCTTGGTGGTGGGTAACTGCTTCCTGTACCTGCTTTCATTAACCTCAAATAACATTGTTGAACAACTGGAGAGGAAGAGACTGGTGTGCCTAAATTTTATTTTCTTAAACAAGGTAAAAAGTTTCAACAAGAACCTATTGTGTAGCTAATGTGCCTAATGGTATTTACCACTGTGACTCAAGATTTGCGGGAAGGGGGTTGAGAGAGGATCTCGCCACATAGTTCAGGCTGGCCTTGAACTAGCAGCGTTCCTGCTGCTCCAGCCTCCCCGGCGCCAGGACTGCAGGTGTCAATCACAAGGCCCGGCTAACTCAAGACATTAAACCCCAGAGGGGGTGGAAGACCAGGCTCTGGCTCTCACCCCTCCGAGTTGCACTGCTCTGCGGCAGTGGTGTGCACTTACAGCAGGACATGGGCTGCAGCAGGACTGGGACCTTAGGTTTGACATCGGTTCCCCTTTGGGGCTCAACACAGTCACATACATCCCTTCAAAAACCTTTATTTGTATGAACGTGTATAGTTTGAGTTAGCTTAAAACCTTGAAAAGGGCAGATAACATATATATTGAGTTTGAAAAACAGTTTCTGTTGTCAGAAATAATTCCGTTTTCACTCACCCTTGGAGTGAGCTAAAAAGAAAATGGAAGCCATTTTGCTGATGGATGAAAAGACACTAGAATGAGCAGCTGACTCCCAGAGCTGACCCTTGCTGGTGAAGGACCCCTTCAGCTTAAGTTTTCCTACCTAAAGCTGGAAGGGAAACTGTGGCCCTCATCCACCGACCACAGGGAAAAGAGGAGCTGGGACCTTCTTGCACTAGGACCAAGGCTTCATCTGCTTAACAAGGTTCAGGAGGCAGAGGTCAGGTGCAGGGCAGAGGCCAGACAGGTGCCACCAGGTGCACATGGTCAGTAGGGGAGTGGTCTAAGAAAGCCCACAACAGATCAACAGGGGCTCAGGGCTCAGTGCTCCCTTCCTAAGTGTCCAGAAGTCCACGTTCTAGGAACTGGGGCTCAGGGACTTGGGGTCCTAGGACAGCAGTGGAAGATGGAGGGCAAAGGAGCCGCTTTCCCCATCCCGCCTTAGGCCAACACAAACTGCAAGTTGGTGAGCAGCACCTTGAGGCCCCTGGTGACGGTCACTGCTGATGTGGCGGGGTCAAGCTTGTAGGTGTTGGTGTCCCCCTTCTTGTGTCGGTCCCGGAAAACGTAGATGCTGCCATTGCAGCTGGCGATCTTCCAGAGGGATGGGGCAGAGCTCCAGGCCTCGGGCAGGCAGAGCCGTGTGAAGCTGTCCAGCAGCGGGTTATAGCACACCAGGGAGTCCCCCTCTGCCACGATGAACACTAGGTCCTTGTGTACAGCTGCATGCATGCGGCCTGCAAAGGGCAGCACATACGGCTTCACGTGGCACTTGTCCGTCTCAGTGTCAAAACACTGGATGAGCCGCGAGGGCTTGGTGAAGAAGTCAAGGTCGTTCTCCTCACCCCCAAGTAAGTAGATGATCCCATTGAGGTTGGCACCAGCGGCCCCCGACACTGCCACCTCCAGCTGGGTGGTCTCTGTCCACACATTGTCACCAACGCGGTAGTAGATGACAGCATTGGAGAGGGTATCCTGCAGCGTCTTGCCGCCCAGCGAGTAGATGGCGTCCTTGCCAGGCACAGACACCAGAGTGTGCTGCAGCCGGTCCCGGGGCAGCGGTGCACACCACTCCCAGTCCACCGTGGCATTGTTGCACTTCCACATGCGCCGTGGGATGGAGCCGCCCACCACGTACAGGTCCCCCCCGTGCTTGCAGGCTGCTGTGATCTGGTGGCACAGGCTGTTCTGGCCACTGACGCTGATGGAGTCGTCCTCCGCACAGTGCAAGGACACGGCTAGGGAGTGCGTGCGCGAAGACTCTTTCCCGATAAGGTAAATGTGCACGTTCTCCCCGATTTCCTGTCAGTGACACCAAAGTGTGAGCAGGTGGAAGCCCCCAGGGAAGGCTCAGCCCAGACACAGAGCTGGCAGGTCCCGGGTCCCTCGCATGCGCTGTGCTCCAGCCCTCTCTAGTTCCTGTTTGTCATGTTGCCTCTCCAACTACTGCCTTTCCTTTAGACGTTTCACATTAGGGCAGGGTATGGGTTTCACTTGAAAACAGGCTGCTTCAGGCAGAAGATTTTTTTTTCCTCCCAGCCCAAGAATTCTTAATGCACCGGTAAAAGGAATTCTCGTAAGGAGCTTTGAAGCTGGGCATGGTGGTGCACACAGAAACCCCAGCAATGTAGGGTGTGCTCAGAGCAGGTGGCCTGAAGAATGGCTTCTCTGTTTATAACACATCCAACAGGAATTTAAGGTCACTGTGACAAGGGGCACAAAATTTGTGACTTCCCATTGAGCAAATGTCCCACATATGTACTCCATACACTTGCACAGGGCTTCTGGGTAGTATCGATGGGACAAAGCGCTATAGCATTTAGTGAGGGAGGTGGACATTTGGAGCTTGTCCACTGGGTGATCTGTTGGTAGTCCTAGAAGTAAAGACTGAATTTCTATTTGCTTTCTTTCTTTTTTTGTATTTTGTAGGGAAGGGCCTAAAGGGCGTTCAGGGTCTCACTACTAGATCAGACTCATAGGGATCCGCCTGTTTACAGCCTCCCAAGAGCTGGGATTACAGGTGCGCACCACCATGCCCAGTCTAAACTGCGTTCTCAGTGTGCCCGGGTGGCAGGGCCAGCACAGAAGGCCCAGGGATTGAACCCCTGGCCCCTGAGCCTGCTTACAGGCACTTTAATCCGCTGAGCTATTTGGCTGGCCCTGAATTTCTATTTTCAAAAAATTAAAAATAATAAAAAATTCTTTCAAAAAAAAAAAAAAATCCAAGCAATTGGGAAGCTGAGGCAGGTGGGTTGGGATTTTTGAGGTCAGCATAGGCTACGTGGTTAGTTAAGGGCAGCCTGCACTACAGCATGACGCTGTCTCAAAAAGAAGAAGGAAAAAAAAAAAAGGTTAACCAAAAGAGTTTTGGAGCCAGGTATGGGGGTGCACACCTGTAACCCCAGCACTCAGGAGGATCACTGTATGTCTGAGGCCAACTTGAGCTATAAAGAGAGTTCAAGGCCAGCCTGAAATGCATAATGAAACCCTGTCTCAAAAAGACAGACAGGGGCTGGTGAGATGGCTCAGTGGTCTAAAGCACCTACTTAGAACAAGCTTAGCAAAGCACAGGGACCGCGGTTCAATCCCCCAGCACCACATGCCGGCCAGCCCGCCCCCTGGTGGGCTGAGCTGCCCCCCCCACACACACAAAAAGGACAGATAACTAAATAGCTAGCTTTGAAGCTCATGGATTGGTGACTTCACTGGTCACAGGCATTCTCCTTCCAGCTCCTATCAGCTTCAGCCAGAGATCATTTATTCAGCAACCATCAGGTGCCAGGCCATGTGACAGCTGGAACACACAGATTAAGCTGCCCCAGTTATTAAGAAGGAATCCACCTTACCTTCAAGCTAGTCTTGAGTGACTCGGAAAAAGCCTCTCTTTCTTCTTTATTGAAATTGATCCAGGCTTCTATTGCTTCTGTTGGGTTCTGGGAACATGGAACTCCATCTGTGAGAGCCAGAGGAAAGCATGGTCAACAACTATCTGAATGAGAAACTCAACTACTTTATTAGACTACACAAGTATGGGGGCCGGAGAGATAGCTCAGTAGAATAAGTGCTTGCCTGGCAAGCGCAGGGTCCTGAGTTCAATCCCCGGTTCCGCAAAAAAAAAAAAAAAAGGACTACACACGTACATGTGTACACACAGAGGCACATCCACAGTACAGGTCAGATGAGAACACTTATGCTCATAAAACATTACTTCGTTTTCTTTATTGCCTGTATGGAGATTGAATTCAGGGCCTTCAAATGGAACTATACGCCTCTCCACTTTTATTTTTAAGACAAGGTCTCACTACATTGCTCAAACTTTTGATCTTCTTGCCTCATCCTAGTGTGCTGGGATTACAGACATGCGCCATCATGCCCAGCTTCTTCACTACCTTTCATGAGAAAGTGCCACAGCTTTCCTTTTGCTGGTTGTTGCTTCTGTAAAGCACCCCATCCCTCACAGCAGCTACCCTGAATTACCAATTACCATGAAAATCAATCCTCAGCCTACATCCCTCCCGGGAAGCTCGCAGCTCCTTTCTCCTGACAAGGAAGCCCAGTCAGCATCAGCTTACCTGAGATGATGTCCGTGAGGAGGTGGTGCGGCAGGTGGAGAAACTCTTCCGTGCTTTGCAGCTGGGCCAAGTGGGTCTTGGCACAGTGCTTGGCAGCAGTGTAGAGCTCAGGATCACTGTGCCGGTCTGCCAGCCACATCACCTGCAGGCAGTTTCCCACTTGCACCGTGCGGGCCAAAAACCGAGAACATTCCTCAAAAAGAGATGTCAGCTGGTACATGTCTGACACCTCATAAATTTCCTGCAGCTCATCTGCCCGGAGTTTCACGGTGCCGTGGTAGATGTAGTCCACCAGCAGCTGGAAAACAGACTCGCTGACGTCCTGTAGCACAATCACCCGGTTGTGAGCCTCCTTCAGGTTGGACGTGAACATGGATCGGAAGAAGCAGCTCTGAGCAGACAGGACCAGCCGGTGAAGCTGAAACTCCCGGCCTTCCACAGAGATGGTGACGTCGGCAAAGAGCTCTTCCTCCAGACACAGCTTCATGATGCCCTGAGCCACTCGGCCTGAGTGGGAGCGATCTTTGAAAGTGTAGTTTACAAAGTAGTTCTCATCCATGGATGCTCCAGGCTCCTCCAGTGACTCCATGGTGGCCAACTTCTCTGTCAGCAGCTGGGAAGTTCACAGCCACAATCTGGATTCCAACTGGCCAACCTGGGAAGGGAGATGGAGAAACTTAGACCAAAATGGGCCGGACTGGTCTTGGTGCTGGCCTGGCCAGACTTTCCTGCAGGCTCCTGCAACCAAACCTGGGCTCACTTTCCTGCAGGTGTGGCCCTCCCCCAAGGAAATCAACAGAACTCCCAACTCTGCTGGTTTCCCTGAGAGTACATCAAATATTCTTTTTCACGGTGTAACTAAAACGCCCAAATACGAAAGCAAAGGACTGGAGAATGCCTATGATCCCGAAAGCCTTACTACCTAAATAGCTCGGGCATAAAGCTAGTAAGGCCTACCGGAAGCGGAAGGAGAAAGGACCCCCGCGTCCCTGAGCGCCCCCCACCCCCCCTTCAACCGCTCATCCGACATCCAATGATGGGAGCCAAGACCCTGGACTCCTCAATCCTCTTGCTCTTTTTCGAACTTCTGGCCCAGCCCTTATCCGCTCGCCTTGATTACTCTAAACCCTCGACAAGGAGCTCTGGAAAGCCCCAGTCCCCAGCTCGGGGCACACGGAAGCCCATCGCCCTGCGCGGGGTCTCCACTCCTCCCGGAGTCGCGGGAGAAACGGTCGTCAAGGAAACCGCTCCCCCTCCCAACACACACCGTCTGCTCTCCTCCATAGCTTAATCGGGGGGCGGGGGAGGGGTGTGAAACGTAGACCCCAGAACACCCGCCCCTTCGCCTTGTCTCACCTGTCCGTTTCTTCAGCGTCTTCACTTTCGCTCCAGCCTCCTCACACCGAACTCGGGCTTCCTTCACCTCACGGTTTCCCGACCTGCCGGTCTTACCTTCTTACCTGCGTTCCCTCTTTTCATCCCGGTGCCCGGAACTTCTGCTTCCGACCCCGCGCCCGCCCGGAAGAAGATCTGCTACACACTTCCGCTTTCGGTCCGTGCCCTTGGGCCTCCGTGTCCTGTGGGCCCTTCCTCGGCTGCCGGGTCTGCATCCGGGGAATATGGCGGCCGCGGTGGCCAGGCTTTGGTGGCGAGGGCTCGCGGGGGCCCGAGCAGTGGCCGGGGGTAAGCGGGGGCCAGCTGGCTGGGGCGAGTCAGAGGCTGTGGGACACGCAACGCGGAGGAGTCCTCAGGCTCACGGGCGGGCCTGCGTTTCTCTCCCGTGCAGGGGCCGGGCGACCCTCGGCGCTGCTGCAGGGGGTGCGGAGGGAGAGCGCCGCGGCCGACTCGCGCCGTGAGTATGTGCGGGCAGCGCTGCCCTCCTCCTGCCGCCCGGGCCCTTCGTTCCCGTTGCCAGATGCTTGTCCTTGCTCTCAGGTGCCCTGCCCCGTGCTCGTCCTTGAGGACCTGACTGAGTGTTCTCCACCTTGCGAGCCGAATCGAGCCTTCCCCGTGGCTTAGACCTCTCTGTTCCGGCCTCGGGTGCCTCTTTTCGTTTCCACGACCCCCTTTTTCTGATTAAATTGGCAGCCCTTTGAAGACAGGAAACAGACCTCACGCGCTTCAGAGAGCAGTGCGAACAGTAGCTCGCGCTAATTGTATGCTCACAGTATGTCAGACACGTGTTGAAGGCCATTAGTGAAGAATGTTATGTGGCTCTCACAACAGCCTTACAAAGGAGATTGTATTTTATTTTAGGATAGAGCAAGAAAAAAAACCAAAAACAGCCCGACCTGGTGGTGCACAGCAGTAATCCCAGCCCACAGGAGACTGAAGCAGGAGGAGCACAGTAATTTTGAGGCCAGCCTGGCCTATGTAGTGACTTCAAAACCTGCCCAAACTACAAAGTGAGATCCTGTCTCAAAACAAACCAGATAACTAAATTGCTGTGGTTCACAGACTTAGGGAAAGAGCAGGGCTGCCCTCTGCCAAAGACAGAACTGTCCCATACTCCGAGCCTGTCACTTCCTAGGCTCCTGGACTAGTCCACCTGCACCTTCCTTAAGGTTCTATGGGGAGCCCTGTTTGGAGCCGACACCCTTTACAAACCCACAAGGCAGAAAGGGCTGGTTGCTGCCTTCGCTGTTCCTCTGATGAGTATGGTTTCTCTTCCAGCCACTGTCAGGCCACAGGATGCGGTGACCCACAAGCAGCTCTCAGCCTTTGGGGAGTATGTGGCTGAAATCCTGCCCAAGTATGTCCAGCAGGTTCAGGTAATGCTCCAGTAGTTGGGGCCTGAATCAGGAAACAGCCATGTTCTCCAGGTGTATGGGAGTGGACAGCCTGGTTGCAAAGAACACAGACCCCCTCCACTCCAAACTTGGGTGCTTTTCTCTCCTCTAAGCTGAGTTGCCCTCAAGCAGGCTGCTTCCTACAGAGCTGCTTCTCTCTCTGTCTGCAGGTGACTTGCTTCAATGAGCTAGAGGTCTGTATCCATCCCGATGGGGTCATCCCGGTGCTCACCTTCCTCAGGGATCACTCCAATGCACAGTTCAAATCCTTGGCTGACCTGACAGCAGTGGACATCCCGACTCGGCAGAACCGTTTTGAGGTCAGTCAAGAGGTGTGAGGAAAATGGGTAAAGCAGCTATGGGAACTGTAAGTTCAGATGTAGTTTCAGGTTGTGCAGAACACAGCAGTTAGACTAGGGCTTCGGAAGCAAGTAGATCTAAGTGTGAATTCTGGCTCTGCCACTAGCTAGCTGTGTGACCTCAAACATTCCAACATTCCCTTTGGTGAGATGGGGCTTGGCTTATTGCACAGGCTGGTTTCGAACTTCTGAGCATAAAAGCTCTCCTGCTTCAGCCTCTTGAGTAGCTGGGACTGACTACAGCTAGGTGCCCAGTGCTGTTTGATGGTTCTGAGCTTTAGTTTTCTAGTCTGTGAACTAAGTGTAGTTGGTGGTAGGAGGGGCTGGGGACACTGTTCAAGTGAATGAGGGCAAGGTCTCCATTTGATGTTCGAGGAGGGTTTTTATCTTTGTGGCTATGGGATACTGATTTCTTTATAGGTAGAATTACTCAAAGGAAAGACTTAAGAATGGCCAGAGAAGCAATTAAAAATAAGATAGTAGGGCTGGAGAGATGGCTCAGTGGTCTAAAGCACCTACTTGGAACAAGCTTGGCAAAGCACAGGGATCGCGGTTCAATCCCCCAGTACCACATGCCAGCCAGCCCCGCCCCCTGGGGGGCTGAGCTGGCCACACACACACACACACACACACACACGCTAAATAAATGTTAGTAGGGTCTGGGGTGATAGCTTAGTGCAGTGGTGGTGAACCTGTGGCACAGGTGCTATAGTGGCCTGTTTGTGTCATTGAAAGTTCTAAAAGGTTCACAGTTTCTGGCATAGTAGTAGAGCTTGGGTTTACCATGCACAAGGCCTTTACACACATGCAGACAATAACAGAGCATTGGGCTGGTGAGATGGCTCAGTGGTCTAGAGCACCTACTTGGAGCAAGCTTGGCAGAGCACAGGGACCGCGGTTCAATCCCCCAGCACCACATGCCAGCCAGCCCCGCCCCTTGGTGGCTGAGTTGGCCACACACACACACACACACACAAAAACAAAAACAAAAAAAAAAAAAAAAAAAAAAAAAAAAAACCAAAAAAACCAGAGCATTCTCCTTCATCCTGAAAGAAGAAAAAGAACAGCAGTCAGCCCATCTTGAGCCAGGAAACCAAAACAACTCTGAAGTCAGTGTGGTCAGAGCTGAGATGGACCACATAAAATACCTGGTGCACCACAACACAACCGAACACCAAGTATCTCAATTGTAGTTGTGGGCATAACACAGCAGGCAGGGCCAGGCAGTGGTGCGCATCTGTAATCCCAGCATCAGGGAGGCTGACACAGGTAGATTGCTATGAGCTTGAGCCTCAAATGGGCTACATAGTTCAAGGCAACAAGTTGAACTACATGGAGAGCACCTGTCTCAAGAGAACCAACCATGGGCTGGAGAGATGGCTCAGTGGTCTAAAGCACCTACTTAGAACAAGCTTAGCAAAAGCATCAGGGACCGCGGTTCAATCCCCCAGCACCACA